ACATCTGGTGAAAATTTCATGTCATTAGCACCTCTAGTAATATATTTACTGAGAAAAATGGTGACGTGTTCAATACTTATTTTACCCGCTCTTTATTTTTCACATTTCAATATTTTCACTATTTATGTGGTTTCGTTTCAACTTCAGTTAATGAACACTTAAATATCTTACACTGGTATAACATCAGATAAAATAAATGGTATGTACCAGGCATTAAAGTGAGTATCAGGTAAATACCAGTTATGTACCTGTATGCACCAGGCATTAATAAAGTGAGTATCAGTTAAATATACCAGTTATGTACCCTGTATGTACCAGGCTGTATTGTGTATTGCTACACTAAAAACACACACCTATCCAAGAAATTCAACCTTTTTTAACCAAAAGCCGCTCCGTATTTTTAAATCCAGCTTCCTCCTGTAACAAAAACAGAGGACTTTAAGAGTTCATATTGTGTATTTGTGTTACAAGCACCTAAATCCCAGGAGCTTTAAACCTTATTAGGATGAATGATTGACGTGCCCGGAGCCTGAAGAGGCCTGAAGCGGTGGTGCACGTTTGACCCAGCCTTGCTTTGATTCAAAGCAGGGAGGTGTTGTTCATTAGCAGCTCCTCTCTGATGGCCACGGAGGAAACRGACTCACCATGTATCAAATATTAGCAGTGCGTGTGTGCGGATCCGTTTTTTTTTATGTGTTGCTGAATAAAAGTCCGCCCGTCTTTACCGAAGGCTCAAAGGTATCGATCCAATAAAGAAGGAGCTTCAAACAGCGGCTGCTGCATGAAAAGGAGCCTGATCCATATGCAGATGGTGACGGCTGTGAGTTGTTCAGCAAATTAGCATGAAAAATTAGGTGTTGATTATGTCAGTGACCCATTTAACGCACAACTTCTGCACTTTAAATAGAGTTTCAAGAAAATTTATGTTGCATCGCACGCCTCCCTTTGTGCTTTATTTCTCTTACCAATCTAAATATTTTCTGTGCGTGTTTGGAGTTTTCACCTCATATCCTGAAAACTATCTATACCCAATCAGATCATTTAACCTTTGATGTAATATAAATTGTTCTTTGGAAAAAGACGACAACTAATCCCAACGCCTGTCCTCTTTAATCCCAACAGAAATGGACAGGAATAAAAACAACAACATTTGTATGCTGACATCTCCACGCAGGGATGTTGCAGAGCAGGATTTACATGGTGATACTATTGTAGAGTCACAAAGTCCGCATAGTATTAGGATTAGATCGGGATAAAAAGATGGGTCAGAATCCCACATGGTAATACGTATGCCATGATGATGGTAACCACGGTAACCAAGAATTAAGTCATCTTAAACTAAACCGCAGGTCTTTAAATAAACCAAACTCAGGTCGAGTGGATGCTTTTAAACTGTATGTTTTCATGATRAGAGAGCGATTTTTGATAATTGTTCAAAAAGTAGCATTTTATTTCACAAAACAGAATAAAGAAAGAAACATATTTTTTAATTAATCTAAGATATTAATTTAGAAACCTGTAAAATAAGATTAACAGAGGCTGAGTTTGTTAAAAGTAAAGACAGGTCTGAGTTGAACCCAGAGACTTTGACAGTAAACACTGTTTGAGCAATTTAAAGATTCAGCACTGAAATCAATGTTCGGATAAAAAACAAACAAACACAGTTTTGAAAGATTTTGTCTGGGAATACGTGACGTCTCTGCATTTGGGATTGCAAAATAAACCTCAAAGATGAAAAAAAAGAAGAAAAAAAAAGAAGAAATCAAGCTCAAGAGGCTCGACTCCTCAGATAAGAATGTTGCATCATGGGAAAGATAAAATTGTGGCTTTTTTTCGGGTGGCTTTCAAGTTGAAATTATCAACTGGGTTTAACTTGGRGGCCATTTTAAATCAAGTTAAATTCAAAGGTTTATCATTTGTAGATGTGCATGCAATGATTAGGAGTTTAATTAAAGGGGAAATATCATGTAAAATCAACTTTTTTGAGCTTTATATCATGTTATAATGTTATCCTCTCACCAAAACATGCCCAGAGTCTTGCTTTGACTCATTCATGCATGTTTGCGAAATCCTGCAGTGTCCTGAGGCAGCCAGGCAGGGGAGCAAAAACGACCGGTTGGGACTAGAACCACCTTTTGGGATCAGCTCCCCCTCTGGGCTGTGCCTCCAAGCTCAGCTTCCTCATCACAGAGCACACCCACCCACCAGGCCCTGTGCTGAATTGGGCGGGACAGAAGCAGAAGGAGGTTCTTAAAGAGACAGAGCCCAGTTTCAAGGTGTTTAGAAACAGAAATGAATGAGAAGTCCAGTTTATTTTCTATTTAAACATATAAACAGCATTTTAATAACAACTGAAGGTGACATAGTTACTTTATTATGGTATAGAATTTAAAGGGCCAATATCATGTGTTTCTCAGGCATATATTTAAATACTATACCATAATAAAGTAACTATGTCACCTTCAGTTG